ATGCAATCTGGTATTATTTTATTAGAGCATTTGTTAATGTTTTTTCCTATTAAAATCATGATAGTGCTAAAAGTCGATCTTGACTAACTTTTCAAAGGAAGGATATTAGAAGCTAAAATTTTCGGATTGGTGTTTTCGGAAACTGAACTGCTGAATACTTGTTTTTTACTCAATGTCTTATATACTCGATGATCTCACGAATTTTCTCTTAAATAATCAAAGTTAAAATAATACGGAATTAACAGAGGCAAGTAATCAACTAATCTATAAATTATGAATAAGTTTTTTTTCCTGTCAGGCAATGTTTTTTCTTTTTTTTTCTTTTATCATTTCAACAATTCTTAAATTAGTTATGTAGGAGTATGATAAAATACTTGGCACGTTATATTAAATCATATGATTAATAGGATATTTTATAGGCATGAATTACTTTGAAAGAGATTTAAGTAATATGACACGTCAGACAGTTTAATACTACTTACGATCTACATCAATCATGTGTAATTATTTTTAAACATTTATGTATTAACAAGAATTTATTATTTTTTGTTTTAATCATTTTTATTGTATTAGATTTTAGTAGTTCTATGTTGAAAGAAAATGTGTTCTACTAAAAGATAGAGCTTTTTATTCTCACTTGAATAGTATATAATTGGTTTTTTTCTATCACGATCATAAATGAAACAACGCATCAGAATAGAAAAAAATGTCATTAAAAGTAAATCTGCATTTTTTATGAGATTCAGAGTAACCATACAAAATATTGATCGTTATATATCTCTTCGACAAAACACGTTCTGAAAATAATACTTTTTTTTTTTTTCACCAGTCAACAAAAAAATATTCTTCTCAGACAAACGATACATCATTTATATTTGACACTTATTCGCAATTGAAATGCAATGAGAAAAACAAGAGAAACACTCATGCAATAAATTTGCAATTTTTATATGGATTCGTCAAAAACATCTTGCTAGACAATAATAAATTCGAGTTCTTTTTTTTGAGTTCATTAAATAGATCTTGTAAAATGAGGATCATTTTGACTTTTTATGTATTCATTAAACATATCTTCTAAAACGATAGTTAATTATGATTAACTATCATTTATATGACATTTTTTTTTTAACGATTTCATATAAAAATTGTTAATTTATTGCGACAGTATTTCTCATTTACAAATAAGTTGAAAATATAAATGATAAACTATTTCGAAAGAAGCTGAAATTTCTTATCGATTGACAAAAAAAACAACAAATATTCTTTTCAAAACGTGTTTATTGAAGAGATGTGTAAGGTTCGATATTTTGCACCGTTCTTGTATAGAAAGAGTGTAGATTTTTATTTTAAAGGTACATCTCTTTTCAGCTGTGTTATTTCGTTCATAAATATGTTTAAGAAAAATATGATATGCGATTCGAGAGAGAAGAAAGAAACAGTTCTATTTTTTAATAAATAAAACTTTTCGTTCATCATCCTTTTATTGAAGAGAAATAAAAATCGACATTTTGTGTCATTACTTTTGCATCGTACATTATAAAAAATGATTTAATATATGACTTTTTGAAACATAATTTTCTATGATGGAATTATTCAATCTTATTCGATATATTTTCTCAAAAAAAAACAAAAATTTATATTCAATAGGCAAATTCTGTTTAACTATAAGGATTATATATATGTTCGAGATATTTTTTGAAAACATAAAACAAACACCGATAGAAAATAATGTATAAACAGTATTTCATAAATTTTGAGCATCGACAAAATCATGCTATACAAATACGTGTATGCCGATTAGGAGGTGCGAATCCTTCCAGACCCGGATTTGGATTCACAAAAACATGTACTCCGTAGCTTCTTATTATCTTTTGTTCATTATAAACCATTGATTTTATGTGTAATTTGGCTAGTTAGATGACTAATGACACATTAGCATAAACACATCATAATTTCTACTGAACTTTTATATCAAATCGATTCATTATTTAATTAGAAAATCTAAAAATAAATTCTTTTCGAAAAAATAAAATATCACATTCTCATGTTTCTAGTACTATTATTAAAAAAAGACGACATGAACTATTTTAAAGCCATTTGAAATACCAATAAACATGCTCAAAGTTCATATAGGAAAGTAATACTTAGGACAATCCAAAAGTAGTGTCGTCATTATCTTATTTCTCTATAGAAAGCTTTAAGAAATTTTCTTTCTTGATGTAATGATAGAGAAAACGATACTCTATTTTTCTGTACTATTTGATCAGTATTCAACTAATATCATAATAATAAAATTTCCATAAGAACTGTTTTGGTGTGAAACTTCACTAACGAGTGAGGCAGGTTAAATGTTTCAACTACTTAATGTATTGTATTAAAAAACAAAATATATCACAAGATGCAGCATGAGAAGCTCTACAATTTACAAAAGACTGCTTATTTTATAATTGCACATTTTGTTTTCAAAATGAACAAAATTTTGAGGGAGCAATTTTTGATCATGCGGAAACGATATTCTTTGGAACGAGATAAATTCATTTTTTCCTTATTGCATCTTTTTATCGCCTGATATCTTTTATTTAAGAAAAACAAAATACATCACAAGATGTAGCGTGCAAAATTCTACAATCTACAAAGTAAAGCTTACTTTAATTGTGTACTTTTTGTTTTCAAACAAAAAAAATCAAAATTCTGTGCGACCAACTTTCGCTGATCCGAAAAAGTAATGTTTTTCTTATTTCGTATATAAAAGAAACTGTTCTTTTGTAAATTGTAGAACTTTTCACGCTGCATCTTGTGATATATTTTGCTTTTTAATAAGTAGTTGAAACATTTAACCTGCCTCACTCGTTAGTGAAGTTTCACAACAAAACAGTTCTTGTCGAAATTTTATTATTATGATATTAGTTGAATACTGATCAAATAGTACAGAAAAATAGAGCATCGTTTTCTCTATCACTACATCAAGAAAGAAAATTTCTTCAAGCTTTCTATAGAGAAATAAGATAATGACGACACTACTTTTGGATTGCCCTAAGTATTTTGATCCCATTAAGGTTCGTCATATAGATAATGAGGTTTTCCACAATGATTTAACTAGCTCCATCGTATTTAATATTTTTAATTCTGGAGAGATAGTGCTAGATATTTTTTCTTCATTATCAATGTCCATAAGTTTTCTCTCTCTTATCATCTATCGATGGATAGAAAATTTCATAGGACTACAAATTCTATATTAGCTTTGTATACAAATTAAATATTCGTTAGACATAGAAATTATGCATCGATTGTAGATGTACTCAACTTGTCACAATAGATTTACTTTGTTATCTGTTAATGTCTCTGAATAAGATATGGGAATTATAAATAATATGAAACCAAAATTAAAATATGATAAATTATAATGACAAACAATGATTTTACTTTGCTGCAATAATATAACTTGATATCGAATCGAATTGAGTCGATAAAATATATTAAGTGTATCTTAATGAATATTCACTTAATAGAAATATTCTAATGTATGTTCTCTTATAGAAATAATCGTTGGCGTCAGTAAAAATGGTTCAATTTGTAAAGACACAACCCGTCTATGATCAATTTTTTGAAAAAAAAAACTCGAAAAAACCTATACCAGCCATTTGCTGTTATCAGTTACAGCTCTAGGAGGGATTGCTTATAGGACAGTCATGCACAACGAACATTCTTCCATAGGCCAGGTGGACGTATGATTATTTTTTTAAACTTAGGAAGACCTTATGTTCTACTTAATATAGCTTTATCATCTCTCAAATGTCAAAGACAAATCCGAAAAAATTTTTATAAGAAGACTAATACATTATATATCATTCGATGCAATTTTCAATGTTAAGTCAATCTGTGTTGATTCGTGCTAACGCTATATAGGTGTTATGAATGGAGAAGCATTCTATAGAAATTTCGTTGTCCAATTTGGACTGGTAGAAAACTGCCCAAACTCATTTTACTGAACCAGATATATTCATTGCAGTTGTAAATTTGTCACTTTCAAACATCTTCTGCACAGTTGTGAACATCTTTCCATAAAAGCATTCGATATTCAAAAAGAATGACTTTTTTCGAATCCCTAAACAGACAAAAGCGAACGTTCTTTTTTTACGAATCGATAGAGTGAAAGACGTAGTTTCAGATTATAAATAATTTTCTCAAGGAATATTTTCTGCTTATTATTTATAGTAAACAAGACTCCTTAATCCTTACAAGCGACGTTTTTCAACTAAAGCTAATAAGAGAAAGACAAAGACTTTTATATTATTAAATAATTGCTCTATTTAAGCCATTAAAAAGTACACTTTCAATGTTTCATCAAATATCTGCCTGGATGTTCGCATCCTAACAGTCTATGGGGTGTCGAAATTTTAACCCCTATACTTCAACACTTCATTTATTTATTCAATATTTACCACAACTTTGATAACAAATCAATTAAAAAAGAAAGAAATATATTCACAAAAGCAAAAGACACATTAAAGTTTCTCTTTGTTTTGTATTTTATTTGTATTACTTAAGTTCGCATAGTTGTTTTTATTTTAACGATAAAAGAAATTAAAAAAAATTACAAATTGCAAAAGAAAAAAAAACAAAAATCGATAGAAAATTAAAATAATTATCTTTTGTTATTTGATTAAATATATACAACTAATATTCATTATGAAAAGAAAAAAAAACAAATTACTAGATCACTTGTGTTTATCAATATCAACATTTTTATTAGATGATTCATCATCACTTTCATCACTATCACTTCGATTATCTTTTTCTACCTAAAATTAGAAAAAAATAATTTATTCAAATAAAAATATTCATTTTTTTGTTTGTTTTAAATTAATAAATTCATTCATACTTTGCCAGCTTTAAATGCTGAAATAGCTACTCGACAAATTAGATAAAACCAGAAATAATGAAGAATTTGTAGAAGTATTAAAAGACCATTAAATCCATACAAAGCAGGAAAAGAACCAAGTATAGTTAATTCTTCAAATGTCGTTGAATACAATACTCTAGATTTATAGAAAAAAACAAAAATTTATTTAAGAAAACCTTCTCACTAAGCTCATGCGATAACTGTTGCCAGTATACTGATCGGTATAATGTGCGCTATAACGGCGGTTTGTTTTTGAAAGTCTTATATCACGAAGTATTGTATCAAAAGACGAAGGAACATCTCCAGGAGTCAAATCGCTTTTCGATCGAGATGATATTTATTTGATGAATACTAGGGAATAATAGAAAAGTCTAGAATGGTTTGATTTTTCGAGTCTTCATTCTCGAGATATCAAAATTTTATTGGGTTTTTCAACCGAAAAGTTGTGATCGCCTAAGGTCACATCAAAAATCGACTTTCAAACTTTGCACGAACAAAGTTTTCAATAAAATTAGTTCATTGAATAAATTGTAATTTTTCTAGTATCTCCAATCCTGAGATATTCAACATTTGAAATTCTCTCGTATGTAAAGGTAAATTTTCTTCATATATTTACATCTCTAGAAAGGAAATACTAAAAAAGTTAAAAGTAGAACAATCAACTAATTTTATAAAGAACTTTGTTCATGTAAAATTTGAAGTCGAAAGTCGATTTTCGATAAGACCTGAGAGGAATGATAGCATTTTGTTGAAAGACTGAGTAAAATTCCGATATCTCGAGAACGAAGGCTCGGAAAATCAAACCATTCTAGACTATTCTATCACTCACGAGTATTCATCACATGAATATCATCTCGATTGAAAAGCGATTTGATACCTGGAAAGGTTCTCTCGTGAGGTACCTGTGGTAGTCACAGAGCCCAAATTTATGAGATGAATTTTCATTGTAGATAGCATTGCAAAATTTTTATTAGTAAAATATCTTGTGAACCTGTTTTCTTCTCGGTTAATTTGAACTTGAGTAGAAAACATTTTCTGCAATTGTTTATGGCTGGAACTGAAAGTCGTAAGCGCCACTGTCGATTCTTATGAATACTGCGATACACTGGAGGTGGTGCGAACGAATACGCAATATGATGTTCTTTTATTCTTTTCTTATTATTATTATTATTTATTTCCAGTGTGTGTTTATTATCAATAAGTATCAATATGCTTTTCGGAAGTAAAGTAAGGTGCCAGCAATTTGAGCGAAATTTTTTGGCGCTTTTTTTTTGATCATGACTGGATAGAGATCGTCGATTAATCTCTAACTATATTGATTTTACTCGTTATATGGTTAGAAAAAAAAATCAATGCGTGATTTTTTTTTCCTAATCATATAATGAGTAAAATACGAAAAAAAAACATTTCCGATTAATATTAATGATCTTGATGTATTCCAATTTTTATTGGCTTTTTTGATTTTTTTTAAACTAAATTTCGCTAGAAAAACATTGTTCAAATATGTAAAAGATCATATTTTTACAGATGCGCTTTATCCAATCATATCATAAAAAGCGCTAAAACAAAATATTTTGCTCAAATATCAAATTGCTGACGTCTTTCGGTACGAGAAAATGAGTTATTGCAAATATTTAGGAAATATATATCGTTTGCTTGTTGAGAGACTATCAATATCCAATGATGAATATAGTCAATACTGACATACATCAAATGGTAATTGAAAAATAAGTAATAAAAGGTAATAAATGTTGGAGAATACTTCTTATAACACTTAGAATATAATCTATGGGTCATTTCAGGCCTATTCACCTCTTATTTGATTTGAAATTTTCACAAGCGTTATTTTTCTGAATAAGTTCTTTAACCATAGACGTATGTAAAAACATTGGTACTTTCAGCTGATTAATAATTAAACAGTAATTAGCAATTATTTCTCTAATCATACGAGAAAAAAGTCTGAAAACTTCAGGATTAACTGCATCTATGATGGTATTTTTAGCAAGATTCTTCCTCTTAAAAATCGATTTCCTAGAGATTCTAAATAAAATTTGTGTCTTATCATCATTTAGAGCTTCTAAAGAAGAATTTTATACTTCAAAATACGTTTTTGTTTTAGTTTAAAACGTTTTACTTAAAAAAACAATGTCAATGATACTATCTTATATTCAATTTAGATTTTTGGTATTTTAATGGATGGTGCAGATTAAAATAGAATAATATCATTTTCATTTTTTATGGGCACTTGGATAAAAAATGTTGCATTTCGTTTTCAAGGAAGTTTTCTTATGTCGTAATATAATTTAAAATATTAAAATTTACTCAATCATTCAACTATGATAATTAAAGCAACGGGAAAGAAAAAATCATGCAATTCTTTTTAATAACGATTTTCTGAAATGATAAGCGTTTCATAAATTTCTGCATCTTTTAATATATGTTTAGAAGAAATATTTGCAAAAAGAACTATGACAGTAATGTCAAACTTGAAAGTCGAATTCAACTTTTCAATTAGTCAACACTTGGAATGCTACTAGCATCACCTGGCATGCTACAGGATTTTCTAGAATGCTGTCAGTATTACGTAGGATGCTACAGCATTCGGTTGAGATGCTGCAGGCATTATCTGAGATGCTATAAGAAGTATGTGAGAAGCTTGAGCTGCCGTGCAGTACTGAGTAGGAATAATGGTGTGCACAAAGACGTGCATGGGTCACGACGATGAAATAAAAAGTGTGTCAGGTGGGGAAAAGCGCTTCCCTATTGAATATCCATAGAACAGTTGACAAGTGAAAATTTGAATTCAAGTTTCAAGTATTACATATAAGAAAATTTTGGACTCGACGAGCTCTAATCATAAGCTTCTTTGATTCTAGGGTTATGGTCTTCATAGTGAAAAGACAAATCATAACTCCTCTTCAATTCAAGCGATCGAAGCCGGATTGATCGCACGAACCTACATTTCTAAGATAGTACATATGTTGAAAATTTCAAATGTTTAACTCTACGAATGACTGAGGTCGCAATGTGAGATAACTTCGGTCAACAATGTTAGTTCAATGCTATATCTGTTTGACAGTTTTCTTATGAAGAAAAAATTTCGACGAGCCCTTTATCATCTAGAACAAAAATCATTCTGATTGATTAAAGTAGATTGGAGATATTGAATTTTTTATCGTTTAGTTATTTACACGAAATTATCTTCGTCAAACACAATACAGAAATTTCTTTTCTTTGTTGATTTCTGAGATGTGTTATAATATCTGACGTATAATAGTGTGTCGGATGAAGGAAACAAATAGTTCAGCTCTTTTACTATTATTATCATCTTGCCATCGCACTATCAGAAGTTAAACATCATAAAACATCTCTAGAATGAAAAAGAAATTTTTTACATTCTTGTACTATGTCGAATGAAGACAAACTTGTTTGTCAAAATCACAAAATGTAGATTCATTCATGATTTTATATTATTAAATTTAAAAATATATATATTGTAGATAAAATTAGAATTTGACTATAGATAAATTCCTACAATTAAAATTTGAACAGAATTACTATCAACAAATTGTAACGCTGATATCAATATTCATACCACTGCGGTTACTGTTTTCTCTGTTGTTTTTGCATCTTACCCTACTTTCAGTTAATGACAGAGTCAAGGAATAGTTGAGCTCTCTCTACAAGTTTTTTTTTTCTAGCAGTTTACTAATTATTAATTAATCATGTCCTTCGAAATAACTCGCAATAAACTACCTTTTTATTTCTACGGTAAAATGTTTGTTCTTCTTTTTTTTTTGATCCGATCTTTGCTAAAAATAATATGATTTCATATTGAGTAAAGCATAAACTCGTATAAAAACATCTCTATGATCTCAAGCTACCTTTTGAATTAATTAGAAATATTCTATTCGATATATATTTACTTATATGGATAATAACATAGACGTGTTATAAACCAAACAATTGCAAATATAATAAATAATGTATCACATATTTTTTGAGCTCGTGCATATTTTGCCATTTTACCACCCTTGAAATAAAAATCATATATATATATTTTTTGTTTCTTTATTTAATTAATTTCTTACTTCAAGCCAATAATCTCCACAATCATGTATGACAATTACTAATGTTCCAATACGTACAAAATTCACCATATAAGAAAATGAAAGTAATGCTATTGTTGCAATATGATGAATAAACATTTGCCAAAAATCTTTTCGTTTAACATCAATAAATTGTGAAAATATTAATGACCAATAATTAGCAAGTTCTATCATATAATACCAAAAAATATCATCTGTTAATGGATGATTTGGATAATTTAACCAACAATGTCGTGTATCCCATGTCCATGATTTCTTTGATAGGAAAAAATAAAGAACAAAATAAATTTAGATAAAAGAAAAAAAAAACATTTCATTACATTTTGTAAAATAATTATACCATATATAGACATAGTAAAATAAAAAGTAAAACGCCAAAATGATTCATTAAATTTTCCTAATCGAGTAACATGTGAATTACGTAGATGAGTATCTTGAATACCAAATGCTCGACCAATTGGTCGAGCTATGTAACTTTACAAAAAAGAAAATTAAAATAGAAAGTAACAAAAAACAAAAAAAGAAATTTTACTATTCAAATAAAACTCTTATTATATAAAGTATACCAGCCAATGGATAAACATAAATAAGATCACGTAATTGTGGTATACGAATACCTTTTTGTTCAAGTTCAAGAAAATCGTTCCAAGTTGTATTTCTAGGCAACCAAAATTGTTCATTCCACATTTTGCTTTTAATCAAAATTGAAATTGCATGTTGATATGTAAATTTTTAACATCATGATCTCAAAAAAATTCATAGATATATATATATATAAGAATAAAAAAAAATGAAAAGAAAGGTGTATGATGTATATTTATTTAGTAATTTTTTTTAAAGTTTACCTACTTAGTATGAGTTCTTTTCTGTCGATTAAGATAAGCTACACTCACATGTTACACACACTTGTATGTGCAGTGTAGTTTATTCTAAGGTGTTTGCACCAATAGAATTACTGTCCATTTTTTATTCTCATCAATTCAGAAATTGTTTGACTTTGACATATATTGAAAAGAATGTATATAACCAGATATTTTTTTTTTAATTAGTGTGCTTATGAGAATAAAGTAAATGCTCAAGTTGAGTTATACATTATTTTCAATTCGATTGATTATTGGTTTTTTATCGTTCCATACTGAAAATTCAAATACGAATTAAATAAAAAGTTGATTTATAAATCAAAATAAAAAAAAAAATTCTCTCATATTAGAACAATCTTGTTTGATTCGCGTTCAAGGAAAAATTTTTAAAAAGCTTTTGGATTATTTGTCAATGATAAAATTGATGTTTCTGATATACTTGTTTTCTGTTTTAAGTCAGGTTTTGGCATACAAATAAAAATAATGAAACTTCATTAGTTATTTTACGAAAAATTGAATAAAAAACATTTTGAACCCGAACGATAAAGTATCAGTTGACTCACAGTTAATTTCAAGGGGGAAACAGCAGACTCCGGGACTCAACGGTATTTTAAAGATCTCCAAAATGGTACAATTATTTACAAAATCCCTCAATCTGTTTTATTGTAGAAATACTTCTTGTCCAATGCTGAACTACGGACAATTAACGACCAACCTATTCCTAAAATGTAATGTGAGCATTCACAGAAGCAGTGTATATGATATTTAGTGATCTTGAACTTAAAAACAGAATTATTTGACTACTTTTAATAACGTACCTTTTAGGTCGATAATCAATTGAAAAAAAACTGTCAATCAAAAAAAATATATAAAAACTAAACGTGGAATTGTTCGATAGCTACAACATGTAAGATAACAATAACTGAATCAGTTCATAAGGGTTAAAATTACAAAAATAGTTTCGTAACGAGATGCGATAAAAGAAGCAATACGAGAAGAATATGAAATAAAACAATGTTTCTAAGATAAAATTTATCTTCTCGTTCTTTTTGCTTTCTTTTTTCTATCAAATGATGAATCTATAACATTAATGTTTCTTTTTAGTTGTCTCGTCGTTAAAGATGATGACGATGATTATTTTTCATTTAAACCACGATCATGTACTGATATTGTGATTTTTATTTTTTGAACCGAATGGTAGGATTTCCTATTGTGCGTTTCGAATTGATTTTTATCAAAAGTGAATCTTTTGTAATGTTTTATGGGATTATGGAAATATTGGAATTACTTCAAATAAATTTAGTATGAAAGAAATATATACATGAGTATAATTTTTTTTGCTGTTTTTGGAAAAATTAGAAATTCAAATGAATTTTCGTGGAAATAGGATAAGATGAATTACGAAAGTAGTTTGAATCAAAAAAGAGAAAAAAAAAAGAATTGTTGGGACAAAATGATTTCAATGAATCAAATAAAAGAAATGGAATAGAAATGGAAGCACGTAAATTAAGGAAATGTAAAGAAATAGTTTATTTTGATAGAAAAAAAAAATTATATAAAGATAGCAGCCCATTTCGAATGTTTTCTTCTTTAGGCTATTTGTGGTTCATTGTGGTATATTCATTGGAAAAAAAATTGATTCCAACATATGTAAAAAAAATATATATATAATTAATCAAATTGATCCACGTGTGTGAAAATATGTATACATGATTAAGTTGAATATTCAGCAATGTATATAGATATACATGCGCGTCGTATGATCATTTTTTATGTTGAATGAGTTGTTTGTATGATTTTTTCTTGTGATCTTGTAGGAATGTATGATGTTTTCTGATGATCTTGTAGGAAGTTCTGCTCAAGTACGTGATCACACATTAGTTGATAATATATTGGGAATGCGTTTGTTATAACATTGAACAATACAGGTTATGTTGTGCCAAAAATTAACGATGTACAAAAAAATAAATGATGTGCAAAAAACTTTTTTAATGACGTGCAAAAATAAATGATGTTATGTGTTTTTTATATCATGATGTGTGTTTTTCATTGATAGATTCGAGAGAAGTGGATAAAAAATAATAAATGATGTAATGTATTTTGTTATATTGATAGATTCGAGAGAGAAGTGAATAACAATGATGATAGGGAAAAATAGGTATATTAAGTAATGTAGCATAAACGATTGATATGAATATGTATATTAAGGAATGTCATAGTTAATCTTTAGAGTTTATGATGTATGAATTTAACGTATGAATTTAATGTATGTATGAGTTTAAGATTTTCTTTTTCGTAATATGGTTGCTGTTAATAGAATGTTTGGAAATGAACAGGTTGGACGTGTATTCATAGTTGATATGCAATGTCATCATACATGATCAGTGTGTTGAACAAATAGTTGGAAGGAACAAGTACATGTATAGAGATTCGAAATAAATAGATAAATTTATATATATATAGAAAGAGGTGAGAAAATACATCAATCAATAAATAATAATAAATATAGAAAGAAAAGAAGATATGGGGTGAGTAAAATACATAAATTAATGCATAGATAAATGAATGAATAGATAAGTACATGTATACAGAGTAAAGGGGAGGGTATTAAACTAAATAAATTCAAATACTGAAAAAGGTTTGAAGTGATTGAAGTGAATAGATACATATATTGGTTAGGTTTTAAGTGAATAACTACATATATTGGAAAGGTTTGAAGTGAACAAATACATATATTGAAAAGGTTTGAAGTGAAAATAGAGAAAAATTTTGAAGTAAATATACGTTTATATATACATAGAGTGAGAAAGAGAGAAAAAGATTGTCGAAGTTGATTCTCTTATGAAAATGTAGGTATTTGAGATGTTCTTTTTTGATTTACTTTTTCTTTTACATCAATGCTATCAGATAGATAGTTCTTTTTGTTTTTATATCAATGTTATGTGATAGACAGTTCTTTTTTGTTTTACATCAATCCTATGAGAGGGTGGGGTGTGGGTGTGGATGTGGGTGTGAGTATTAGGTGAATAGGTTCACCCACACCCACCTGGTTTTACAACATATGCATCATCATCTTGTAAATAACCAATTTTCTTTTTTAGGTATTCTAAACTTTTGCTTTTAATATTCATAATAGAGAAAATGTTTGATGTCATCAATAATGATTTAGCACAATTGATACTCTGTGCTTCAAGCAAATCGGCAACATCATGACCTGCTTATTGTCGAACAAAATCAAGAAAATCATCATCATGCAATGACATCATATTTGATGGTAGTTTTAATGTATCGATCAGAATATTTAGTTCAAACATCTGTAGTGATCACTAGTCTAATAGAATAAGTTTATATCAAGAGCAGTATATGCACAGTTAGAAAAAAAATGTATGGTTGTGATATGAGTGATGATTCATAAACATAAGGAACCAATTAATCATGAATTTTTCATTTTTTTTTATTATCATATTTAACACGCAACGATAGCTAGCGACATATTTTCACTGAGATTATATATAATTTTTTCCTCATACTATTGACTCGTTATTTTTTCGGATGACTGTGCATATGAGAAAGGTATTGTTTCGTTGTTTTCAATTTTCAGCAATTCTTCCATGATTTTGATCATTTTTCGCATGTCAGTTTCACTTTTCCGTTTCCTAGCGTAAATTAATACATTGGTGGCAATGATGTCCAGACAGCGGGTTTGTGAGAAATCGTTTGACTCTGTGCTATCGCAAACACTTGATTTTTCTCAGTGAAATATGGTCATCTTTCTGCATTCTGTAGAAAACGACTTATTTGTATTGGGTAGATTGTATGATCCTCTACTTTTTGGTCAGCGAGGCGCCCCTGTTTGTTGCTATCACATTCCATTATATTTGATTTCTTCCAAGTATCATCAAACCGTTGTCAATATTAACTCATGTCAAACAAACACGCTTGTAATCGGAGAAATATAGCGTTTCACATCGCTCAGTATTGCGATCGTATAACTCCGTGATCGTATCCGCAGAAATACGATCGTTTATGGACAAACAAAACTCGTCAACGACTTTCGTTTTACTCTGTATTTCATCGTATACCATTATATTTCTCTGTGTATGGTTTAGAGATATACGATCGTCCAAAAATGTGATTATATACGGAGAAACTCGGAGGGAGATGGATTACTTCATTTTGACAGTAAATCAATAGTGTAAGGTAATCCAGCAATATACCACGGCATCTGTAATCAATCCAGTAATTTTGAAGGATCAGATATTGCTGAATACAACATGAAAACTTTTATCGGTTTCTGATAAGCAGAAATTTTCAACTTATGACATCACACTATCAGAAGCTATCTTGTCAAACAAATTCTATCGAATCTGACAGGATTCTAGGATAGATCTAGCCTCTCTGGAACTTCTTTTCATCTTGATCCATGTGTTACTCTACGAGTTAGCTATTTGTTGTTAGATTCACATCACAAGGTTCTCTGGGACTGAGAAAAATGGTCAAGAAAAGTAAGCCGATATTATCATTTTACATGTCAATCTTTACCAGAAAAACTTGCCAAGATTGTGAGAGAATGATGAGTTCATATTGGAAGTGTAATTGAGTGATTTTGCCTCCACTAGAGAGCTATAAAAATTAGGTCTCAATTAGGAATATATAACATCGTTGAAGTTGATCACTAAAATCATATAATTTAGCCTCCTTAGCTATACATCTCGACTGATCGGCACATCAGTTTGTGCTATGTGATCGTTTCGTATGATATGGTAATATTAATCAATATATTCATAGATGTTTTCGTCAACAAGCTACTTTTTCGTGAGAAAAAAG